GTTCTCCCCGCCGGCCCAAGATGAGGTAATACCTTCAACACCAACTTCGTCTTCAGGGGTAGGCACATAAGGAGGGTTCACAACCATAACATCAACCAACCCTGCCAAACGCTCCTCTAGTCCAGCTGCAATATCTGTTACTACCAACTCAGCACCAACCCCATGTGCTTCCATAGTCTTTCGGGTCACCTCCACAGCATGAGGGTTGATATCGGTTGCAAAATAGTTGACACCATAACCTTCCTGCCCCAGAATAAGAGCGAGGGAAGTGATGACATATCCACTTCCACAGCCTATCTCTATGCACAATGATGGATGATGTTCCAGCAAGTTACTGCGATCAGCTAGAAGAGCATCAACCAGTGCAAAAGAATCATCACATGGTTCATAAACCTCCTGATGGGAACTTACAAGGCGAATTTGAGCAGTTCTTGGTAATTCTTTGTATGAAGCCTATCAATGAACACATAACTGTCAGTAAACCTGAAAGGTTCAATCCAATTCACAAGTAAAAAGGGTCTGGGGAAGTGGCAGCAACAAAAGATTTGGCACACCATACCATTTTACCGGTGTTCACTTTGGCATTGATACACGGATGACCTTTATTGAATCCAGCTCTGACTGGCACTGCCCAATTTCAAGACAAAATTTGCAATATCAATTTCTTCCTACTCCTCCTGAGCCAGAAACGGCAGAATAATTTAGTTGTTGATTTTAATATTAAAAANGCGTCTGTTAGTAAATTTTGTTGTAATAAGTTAACAATAATCATTCTTTTCTAAGTGAACAATTTTTATTTCTAACTATCTGAATACTGTTATTAAGAGTGATTACAATCATTCAATGTATGATACTCTTTTTAGTTGGAACAATTATATTAATAGTTGCATTGATAGTTATTTTCGTTCTCAAATCTGTGTTGATAGTTGCATTTTTGTTGATATAGACAAATACAATGATAATTCTTTTTATAGTTACTTTTTTTGTAAGCGCAGAAATGGTAGTGAAAGCGAGAATTATATGAAAAATTGGTGGTTCAATTCTAGATTACTTAATAGGAAGTTCAAATATAAGTGTGAATTAAGTAAATCAATGGAGAGTCTTGGTTCTATTGAGAATACCAATCTAAGCGAAGAATCAAAAAATTTAACTGATATAGATAAAAAAAATTCAGAGGTGATAAGTTACTAGATAAAATGATATTAAAACTTCATATTCCCTCCTCTTCATTCTAGTTTCTTCCCCAAAACATGAATCAAAAAATCTCCCAAAGTGCAAATCCAACCTGTGGTGACCTCGGTTGGCCTTGTCGTGAGGAGTATGTGATGTTGATAGAGAAGCTCTAGAAGGGCAACATTCAATGCAATGTTTTTCTCTTCTTTTTACAATTCAAACCACATATTTTGTTACAAGCACAAGAGCTGGGACAATATGTGTTTGTTGATGAGATATTTCAACAAATTCATCTTCGCAAGGGATCTGACCAATTTATTAATCAAGGATCTCGCAAGACACATATAAGCAAAGACTTTTATTCTTATTTCCTTTAAACTTAAAATTTTACCATATTTAACTAATTTCTCATTCTTTTTCTTTAATAGGAAGAATTTGAAAGTAAAGTTTCACATGCTAGATTTGAGCAAGGATCATGTCTTGATGCATCAGATGAGAATAATGATGATGCACAAATTGACATCATTAGGACACAGTGCTAGGTTGAGGTTGTTGGTGGAAAAAAATAAAGTAAGACTATATGGTGCAAGACAATTTGCTGCTAATTACATTGCTGGAAGAGGTACCCTCAAACACCAACCATCTTCTTCCATCAATGTTCAGGACGTTATGTACCTTAGGCAAAGACTAAAAGCACGTATTTAGGATTATGAAAATTTGAGTTGCCAATTTCAAATCTTGCAAAATCTAGTAATGAAATTCTTGCCTTCGGATGCCTAAATTTGTCTTCAACAACCTCAATCCAATCCAACACCATCCCGATAGCAACCCAACCCAACCCATTCCAAAACACCCCAGTTCAGTCACAATCCCAACAACAAGAACAACATCCTCGAAAAGGCCCTTAAGAATAAGACTAAATTTTGATAATTATGTTTTTACATACTTATTATAGTTTTTTATTATGTGTGAATACATTACTTATAGACATATTGTAAATGATGTTTGTTTGCATGACCTAGTATTAGCAAATTTTTCTTAGTGTCCTGTATATGGAAAATTGCACTTTTATTGCATGTTTGCATATGAGATATGATATTGTAAGATTGTCAAGTCTGACTAAGTGCACAAAATACAACTCACTACACTGGAAACATGCATTACATTTATTAACAAATTTTACCGACAAACAAATCCATGGGTACTATCCTGTACTTGAATCATGCTATTACCGAAAAATATATTCATCGATAATTACTAACATATCCCAATTTATGTCGTTAAATATTATTGACGAATTTTTGCCCATAAGGAATATTCAATTGAATACAGATTTGAAAATTAAACACATTATCAATAGAAAACACTAAAAAAAATATATGTACTAAATGAACAACTTTTAGCTTGAGTCCACCCATCTCGATTGATTCTAGATCAACCCGTCTCTACCTCTGGCAAACACTAGCCTATCTCGATCCTTAGCCAGGTTTGTCTAGCTCGATTTTGTCTGTCTCGTCCGTCGGTTGAAGTTAGTCCATCTCAACCTTTTGTCTAGTTTGGCTCGTGTCGATCTTTAGTTCATATTGATCCTTCTCAACCTTCAACTATAATTAACCTATCTCAATTTTATGCTTGTGTTGACCCGTCTTGACTCCTACCTCGAGTTGGGTTGTCTTGATCATTGGTTTGGTTGGCCCATTCTTATCCTTGATTCAGGCTGACCCATCTTAATCTTTGGTTTGAGATGATCGTCCTATGGTTTGGTTCAAGCTAGCTTCTCTCGACCTTCAATTTAGGAGTCTCTTCACAACCTTTGGTTTACCAACTCGACTTGACCTTTATCTCAGTCTTACTCAATTATAACCTTAGTTGAGACTCACTTGATTTGACTTTCTATTCTGGTTAACTCTGCTCAAACTTCGGTCATGGTAGACTCGGGTTAACCTTCAAGCTAGGATAATCCGAGTCGAACTTTGATCCTGACTAAAAGTGTTGTATTTAAAAATTAATTAAAATTTTGTAGTAGGATCAAGCTTACTTTAATCTGAATCCTAACTTACTTATAAAGAGACTAAGCTTCGATTTCTTTTTTTTCACTTATAAAGAGACTAAGCTTCGATTTCTTTTTTTCCATTCGTTTAGTGTTCCTACAAACATGAACTTATTAAAAAATAGCTTAAGATTAACCATGAGTTATCAATTAAATTGACACATAGCACACCCAATTGATTAAAAAAGAAGAAGGTAGAATTGAAGTTAAAAAAGAAAAACCCGGAGCATGGTGGGAGGCGGAGTCACGAGCCAAGAGTGTTCCTCTCTTTCATGGTGCATAAACAGTTCAAATTACTAAAGTGATTTGAATAGAAATTTGAAAATTAAACAGATTATTACCAGAAAACACTGAAAAAAAATTACTTTCTTACTTTTTGTTGTTATGTTTAAAACTAAATCAGACTGTACTATATACTAAATTTATAATTAATTTTTATTTTATTCTTGAACAAGTCTTAATTCCAGTCGGACTGTTTTATATATGAAAAATGAGTCACTGAAAGAGTTGCCCAGTTTAAGAAAATAATTTCTGTTTTCTAAAAAACATTTTCAAAATTTAGAAAAGAAAGTTATTTCATTTTTCAAGAATCTAGAGGTTAGTGAAGGAAAAGAGTCAATACAACTAAAGGTGAAGCTGTAAAATAAAAGCATTGAACTTTGAAGTGAAAAAGAAAAGGAGGAAGGAGAAAATATATTATAGAATATTTCTAATACAATTTTTTCTATATCTTTATCATTTTTATTAGAAGTTGTAAAATTATGAACAAGATTTACAAAATATGTAGTAGTAAAGATACGTAAGTTTCTGACTTTAATGTATTTCAATCAATTAAAAAATATATTAGAAAAACTGTAAAGGTGTGAATCTAATATTTCTGAAGATACGATAAAAGAAAGGGAACAAAACACCACAGCAATAAAAGGAACATTCATATAAAATTTAATATTCTCAGAATTTTTTTGAACAGAGTAAGTGTTTAAATTTAAGTAAAATTAAAAATTTGTTGTATCAAGATTAATATTTTTTTTATTACTGTACTGAAAACAAAAATATATCAATATTTATTAACTGTTTACCCTTTCAAACTTATCGCACTCTGTTAATATCTTCAGTAAAAATAATGATTTAGGCATGTTATGTAGATCAAAAGTACAATCTAAAAATATGAATACTAAATTTCAGCTAAAATATTATAAGAGATTAAAATGTCATAACGAGATGGAATTATATGTTTATATCTTTAAGAACTGTAAATAATTTTAATCATCCATAAGTATTTGTGTATAGTCTTAAATTGTTTAATGCTATCTTCGTATTTTCTTTTTCAATTTATTCAATTGCTTTAAAATTATTGAAATGCTTTGCCAAGCATTACGCATGGTTAAAAGTTGTGTAACTAGTACAAATATAAATGAAAGAAAAAAACTTATTTTAGTGTTTATTCTAAAAAATATAACCGATAAATTTGATGCTTATCTAGTCTAAGAGAATTAATTACTTTTACTTTTGTACAATTAAAAAAATAAATTCTTTTAAATTACTGAATAAATAAGGTACCTGTGTTTGCCAATATGAGTAGGTATAAATCTATCATACATCAGGATCTTAACACAAATGACAAGTTTTAAATCAACATTAACAATTTTTAGGTTGTGGCCTAGAGAACAATTATTGGATTTTGAACAAATGTCAAAATAGAGAGGTATTGAAAGTAAATATAAGTATATCAATTGGAAAATAATCTAATTAAACGGAATAAAAAAAGCAAAGAAAATATAAGAAGAAACTACTAAGAAAGACCTTGCTAAAAGTGGTTTTTAGTGAAAAATTAGTTTTTCACAAAGTTTTGATGCTAGTCAATTGATGCTCAAGCTGACCTCAACTAACAGGGAGAATTGGTCGTTGTAATTATAAGGCCTTCTGAATGCCATGGCAATGCAAACATAACAGTTGTCAGACAAAACATCCTAGCATCAGAAATCATTTGTTTTCTCAATCAACACTTGTTGTCACTATTGGTGCCTCTCCAAAATGAAAATAAAGGAATATGTGTAAGCAAGGAGCCTATGAACCTAGAATCAGATTGGTTTGTTTCATCCTTTCCATTATCAAAATCCCGCCAGAACTTGATTATATGGAGACTTTCTTCCTCTGTGGATCTTTGGACAACAATCTTAGAACCATATCCTTTCTTTCTCATTTGTTGGCATATCTCAGAAGGATTGTTTGCAGTGAGGGTCACCATGTATAGCCATCCCTTTTCTGACAAAAGACGGTCTGCAACCGGCAAAATCTTATCTATAACACTTCGGCCATTCTCCCCACCGGCCCAAGATGAGGTAATACCTTCAACACCAACTTCGTCTTCAGGGGTAGGCACATAAGGAGGGTTCACAACCATAACATCAACCAACCCTGCCAAACGCTCCTCTAGTCCAGCTGCAATATCTGTTACTACCAACTCAGCACCAACCCCATGTGCTTCCATAGTCTTTCGGGTCACCTCCACAGCATGAGGGTTGATATCGGTTGCAAAATAGTTGACACCATAACCTTCCTGCCCCAGAATAAGAGCGAGGGAAGTGATGACATATCCACTTCCACAGCCTATCTCTATGCACAATGATGGATGATGTTCCAGCAAGTTACTGCGATCAGCTAGAAGAGCATCAACCAGTGCAAAAGAATCATCACATGGTTCATAAACCTCCTGATGGGAACTTACAAGGCGAATTTGAGCAGTTCTTGGTAATTCTTTGTATGAAGCCTATCAATGAACACATAACTGTCAGTAAACCTGAAAGGTTCAATCCAATTCACAAGTAAAAAGGGTCTGGGGAAGTGGCAGCAACAAAAGATTTGGCACACCATACCATTTTACCGGTGTTCACTTTGGCATTGATACACGGATGACCTTTATTGAATCCAGCTCTGACTGGCACTGCCCAATTTCAAGACAAAATTTGCAATATCAATTTCTTCCTACTCCTCCTGAGCCAGAAACGGCAGAATAATTTAGTTGTTGATTTTAATATTAAAAAAAGTAGTAACAAGAAGCAGTAGAAAAAATAAACTAAAAAGTGAAACCTAGCAATCTGCCCAACAGCTTTTAGCCTATGAGAATCACCTCCAAATACCAATACATGCCACACTTAGACATATTTTTGCTTTTCTAACTCTACCAAAACCAGTGAAAGAAAACAACCCCTTTGCACTAATTAAAGGAAAACAGCTTGATTTATGCCCCTGCAGCAGATACACCAGCGCTGGTCACGTTCCAGCATTCCAAACAATGCTCAACTCTTTCCAGAATAGCAATTTCTGCATCCAATTCCGCTTATGCGTCAGTTTACCAGACTTCACTGCATATATCAGCGCCAAAACACCAATGTGCTAGCATCCAGGAGTAGTTTTCCATCATCTGAAACCTTATACAACAATATACTTACACTGTCCAGCACAATTCTCCCTTGATCATTCCAATTTCTTCATCATGCAGCACGCATATAAAAAAAAAAACACTAAAACAGCCACATAACAGAACAATATTGCCCCCTTGAACCAATGAATTTCATGCACCAGATTGCTTACCAATAGACCAGAACTTATCACAAAATACATCATAAAATATAGTAACCTAAACCATATCAAAGATCACAATTTTAAAGCACTTAAACACCATCTTTTCCTTACACATAACTCAAGACAGCACCTCTAATAAAGCAGATTCTGAATGAAACAGCTACTTAAAAGGACAACTTTGCACCTTTCACCCACTGATTTCGTGCTCCAGTTTGCTTACAAACAGATCAAAATTTAACACACTAAAACATATAACATATAGCACACTAGACAAGATAATTAATCATAATGTACACAACAGCAACACCAATTTTTCCTCAAACATGCACTTCAAAACAGCACCCCAAAAGCAACACATTCAAGAGACAAACAGCCCCTGCATCTGGCCTAAACATGGTTCAATAATTGGTTTAAAACAAAGTTTTCATCAGTTTATACAATCCAAAAAAAAAAAAATCCCAAACTTAAGCTTTATACTAGCTACGGTGACTGCTGCAACTACCATCCTAACAGTCTACTGCATTGGACCACTACCGCATCATTCTGGACAGGTTTTTAAGCTGCAGACTCACTTCAGAAATGCTCCCTACCCTTCACTCAACTCACGGCCACTCACAAGTCATTGCACAGGACTCTCATGCACCAAAACCTACTAATGTGCTACACAATACTGCACCCGAGATCCCTCTCAAACCAAATTAGCTGGACTCCTACCACCAGGAATGACTCTGCACGAATAACATTTTCTGCACAATCCTCACACAAGGCTGCACTAGCCATTCACCCCTTGATGACTCTATTACCATGCAGGGCTGCACTAACACTCCCCCCATCCCGCTACTGCCAATGTAGTAAGGAAAACAGGCCACTGCCTTGCACAAAACTCATCTACAACAGTTCATTCTAGTATCACCCTACATGAATTTCTCGTTCAAATACTTAAACAAACACGGCAAGGAACATATATGCCAATTTACGTTCACACACAAGTTTAATATCCTACTCCAGCTAATACAACCCAAAAAAAACCACCACATTGCCCTGTCACATGTAAATACAAGACACTCCAGTTGCGTGGTCAATGAAACCAGAAATTCATACATCCGTTTAGACTGTGGATGTAACACATTCTTCACCTTAAACTCATGCCTAATGCTATTGATTTCAATTGAGCTGCAACCAAGAGTCCTTTGATGCAAATAATGAATACTCAAATAGGGTAAGAAGAGAACAACATGGACATGTGGATAAAGTGTGCGTAACAAACTCACCGGCGGTCGCCGCCTTCGCACTCGCCGCCCTCGAGACTCTCTGCGATCGCAGCCCTCGCTGATGCCAGCGCTCTCCACCCCGCTGCTGCCTTTTTTCTTCCACTCCTTATTCTATTCGCGCCTATGTTTTTATTATTGTGCTTTCTATCTAGCATATATTTAGAATTTGAAGAAAAAGGCTCTTTTTCATTCTATTTAGGGTTTATTTAGAATTTGAAGAAAAAAAATGGAATGATCATTCTTTTATAAATTTATAAATTTATTAGTTGTTTCATATATGAGTAATTTATGAAATATCATATTTTTTTTACAATTGTATTATAAACCCATTTTATAAATAATACATAAGTTACTTTTATAATTTGTATTACTTTTAATGATATTTCTATTTATAAATATAATTTTTCATCTATTTATAATTTTTACCAGTTGAATTACAATTTTCGAGTTTAAATTCTTTAGTTAGAATCTTATTTTCACTTTTTTTATTCTCTTATGATATGCAGTTTAATAATATTAGTTAGATTTAAAATACACTATTAAAAATTATTAATTTTTTTTAATGAAATTAATTATTTATTAAATTTATTATTTGTTGAATTTATTATACAAAATAGTATCAAATCTTAATATATATTTATTGCACCCTTCGTTCATCTATCAATTTTCTTCATTTTTACAATTACCTTAAAAGGTCAAAGTGAGTTTAGTTCTCACAACAATGTCCTCTGAAAGGTATAACCATAAATAAAATGTATGGTTTAACATTGGTTGAGAAGTTTAGCTATCTTTCAGGGTTTTGTCTAATTTTGTTTTCGTTCTAATATGTGTAACATGTTTGTGCTCACTCATTTCTAAGGTTAAAATTAGTTAAACCGTTGAAAACAATGTCTTATTGGAGGCTCCACCTTGTTTCTTGGAACTTTTGTAAACTATAAATAATAAGGCTTCCTCTGTTTTTTCTCACCTCACTTTTTCTCTGCACTCTGTTTCTCAAACCAAGCAAGGACGATGGAAGAGCCGCAATCGAAGCCCGAAACTATCCCTTCTTCGGCTTTGGTTGTGGCTGAGGTGGCTCCGGTTGTGGATGAAGTGCCCTTCAACGATGCCGTTGCAAAGGAAGCTTCTGGAGCAGAGGAGTCCAAAGATACCCTTGTTAAACCCGAGAGTGAGTTTTGCATTGCACGTGTTGGTGTTCATGTTTTCATTCTCTGATGACTCCTTTCACGAGACAAAATTCGTGGGTTTTTGTCAAAATCTATTTTTGAGTGTCAAAAATCTGTTTTTGAGTTTCTTCCCAATACATGTTTTTCTTCCAAGGCTTGTGGAAAAGTGTTTCTGAACCTTTTTTGGGGCCATCTAGCTTTGTGTTTTGATTTATTGCACTTAAGACACTGCAAATAATAATGAAGGAAAAACTGTGTCATATTATGTGTACTAAACCTTATTCTGCACTTAAATATTTTCTTTTTGAATTATTCTTATTTTCGAGGCTGTTGGCAACTATATCACTTAAATCTGTTTATATTTTCATATTTTTTGCCTAAATTTTAATGATGTACTTCGTAGTAACTATTGGAGATTTAATGGTTTCTTGTATAAACTTTTCTATCTGTTTAAAAATTTATATAGATATATCATTTTCTTAATTCGACAGATACAGAAGTTCCAGAAAAAAAACAAAGCTCGAAAGGGTCTCTTGATAGAGGTTAGTGTTAACTCTTTCTCATTTAAATTTAAAATTTAACGTTGGAAATTCAACCTTAACTACATATATAACCAATTTATAATATATAATTAGAAGTAAATCTCATTTTACCGATTGATTTTACGAAAGTGAGTTTAGTTTGAAGTACAAGATAGAAGATACTAGTAAGAACAGAAACTTACACTACCTAATTAAAGATCTTTAGCTGACATGTTAATGTGTCTTCCTTGGTAACATGAATATGTGTTAGTACTAACAAAATTTGGTAATCTCTTAAGAAAATCGTGTTTGAAGAATCTGATTCACCAATCACTTTTTTCTGGATGACGTTTATTGATTTCTAAGCTATTCACTTATGTTATGAACAGATGTCTCTCTGGCTGAAGTAGTTAAAGGGAAAAAGTTGTCCTATGTGAAGGCATGGGAAGAGAGTGAAAAGGCCAAAGCAGACAACAGGTAATAATACTTTTATGCACTTTATCAGTTTATGTATATGCCTCAAAGAAGGGTTATTCTTCATTTCTAAAAGTTAAAACTAAATGTGTTTAGAACTCATTGCAAAGTTAAAAATCACGTCATTTATACTGCAAAATGCAGAAGTTATAACATTTAGCTTATTGTTTGGCCAAACTAAAATGTTACAGTTGATTTTACAGAATATATTATTACATTTATATCTTAGACAAAAACAATCTGATAATGCTTAAACTTAACTAGTTTCTTAACATGAAAGGAAACATATGACTATTTCCCTAACACACACTTATGCCTTCCAAAGTCTGTAGGATATTATGATTTTGTGCTATGTAGACCATGATGATGATATGCCATTGATCCCTTTTACAAATTTCCAATACAAACTCACCTAAATTCGAGAAATCATTTGGTCTGTTAACAGAGCTGAAAAACATTTCTCAGCAATTGCTGCTTGGGAAAGCAAAAAGATGGCAGCTCTTGAAGCTGAGTTGAAAAAAATAGAGGTAATACTTGATTTACCTGTTCACTATTTATCTTAACGTGATGCCTTTCTTGTATATACATGTTATGTAGTAACATGGCTGGACTGAAGAAAGTGTTCCTTTCTTTACATCAAACAATATAATAAACTTCACATGTTGGGAAGATGCAAGATGTATGTTCTCTGCATGATATTATTCTATACTTCAAATAAGGAATTTTTTTTTTAATTTCAATCTATATAGTGTATAAGTGGATATAAATCTTGAATTAATAAACTAGTTTCCTGAAGTTGAGTTAGATGACCAAGTTATGCTAGAGAAAGGACAATTTTTTCTGTGGAGTAAAGTGAATGAAGTAGATCCCAATGAACATAGAAGTATGGTGATTGTGCTGAATAATATAGCTTTGAAAAACTTGTTATGTGAGTAGGAACAACTGGAGAAAAAGAAAGCAGAGCAAGCTGAAAAGATGAAAAACAAGATGGCTTTAGTTCACAAGGAAGCAGAGGAGAAGAGGGCAATAATTGAAGCCAAGCGTGGAGAAGAGATTCTCAAGACAGAAGAAATGGCTGCAAGATACCGTGCAACAGGAACCACTCCAAAGAAGACCGTAGGCTGCTTTTAATTTATCTTTTTGCCTTTTGGTCTGACGAAATTTGTAATAGTTTCACCTCTCTTGTTCTCAAGGTTGTCTATGTGCAATGATTCTTCCAAAGAAGAAAAAGAAAACCAAAGTTTTGTAAATGCCTCTTGTTTTTATCATCTAGCTTGGGGTGAAATGTTCAATGTAATGCTGTTTTTCTCTTAGAGAACTTCTTTACTTACCAATTAATTGAGTTTCTCTATTCATTCTTTTCTATACCATTGCCCATTGGATCATCACTGTTTCTCTATCACCATTCTTTTCTATCACCATAACTAACCTCTTTAGATGATTGTTTATAATTAAAAGGTATTAATAACGTTTAATATGGTCAAGAAGAACTTCAAATTTACAATGTAAATATCTTGGGTGCAAATCTAACATAAATTATGTTTAAGTGGCGAGTATTTTTTTAGTATCATTTTTTTTTTTCATACATACAGTGTGTTTTACTGCTATCATATTATATTATATGTTAAAATAGATTAAAAACATGAAGTCATTTTTTATTATGGTAAATAGTGTGATGATATCTTAAGATATAGTATTAAAATGAAAAAAATGAATAACATAATTAGTGTGATTGTGAAATTAAAAAGGCTAATAAAAATCATATTCAAATGTCAATAATATAGACCTATGCAAAGTGGATTAGACTAGGTGGTTAGGCTCCAATTTACGAAAAAGAATATTTTTTTTACTAATTATTTAGGTTTTAGATTTTTTTTAAGATTTTAGTGTTATTGAAAATTTAAAATAACAGTCCACTTGTCTTGTCAGTTTATTTTATAAATGTAATATCCGTAGTATTAATAAAAAAATCATATTCAAATGAAATTTAAAGTAAAATATTGAAATATGTCAAGGTTTTTAACTAAATTTATCATTTAATTAGTTTTCTATATTTTTAATTTTAAATTTTGGTGGGAAGTTCCCTATATAACAGCAACTCATTGCAGTTAATTGGTTCTTATGAAGTCTTCTGAAGAATGTACTCATATAAACAACTACAGACTTGAAAAAATAATTTTGAAGTCAAAATAGAGGTTCTTGTGTAACAAAGAGATAAATAGGACTCATTCAAAATATGAATTTCAAGTTTGGATCACAATAGACCTCATCAAATAAAGTATTCCGAAGAATCTAGTTTGCAATCTTCTGGGCTATGGATTACAATTGCCAATTTTGTGAACAGTTTTCCTATTTGCTATTGTTAATGTGATTTTGTGTGCAGAAATCTGACAAACATATTCAAAACATGATCATATGTAATTAACATTTACTATATTCATACTGAGACTTAAACAATAAAAAATCCACAATAATGGCTCACCTATCACAGGGACCATATTCAGCTAATTGCCAAGCCATGTCATTCTCCTACTTGTTCAAATGCTTATACAGACAGCAATATTACAAAACACCAAACCAAAAGGTACATGATGATCCTATAATTCATGCAAATGCACTAAAGTGGACACATAAAAGAGTTTCCTTCTAAGAAGCTCATGTCATTGTTTATAGGAAAATCTAACAAGAGCTGCAAAGCAGTGTCTGATGAATCCTCCATGTCATTAGAGCTTGAAGAATCAGATCCACGAATCCTCCACTCAAACTCTTGTTTCACAATGTTAGAGGGCGTGGTTTCTTGTGCAATGGAAGCCAAATCTGCATTTATTCCAACTGACTCACACTTGTTGGAAGATGATCCTGCAGAGAGGGGACTGGGGCAGGAGCTGGTAGTGGTGATTTTGTTGTCATCAGCTTTGTGATGAACAACATTGCGAAATGCCTCTCCAACTTCAGAGTTCCAAATGCGGAGAAAGTAGTCAGAGTCAGTGGTTTTGGTATCTGAATTAGGATTGGTGGTGTTGTGGCTGAACCTTGTTGACTCATTTGAGAGCCTGGCCTCAGCTTCAAGCCTAGCACTCTCCCACTGAGCCATGTGGCGTGTGGACACAGATGCATGTGCCTTGTGGAAGGGGTAAGATGGAGATGAGACCAATGGCTCGTGAGTTCGAGGGTCAAGTCCCATGCTTTTGAGACGCTTCTTCAAGTGGGTGTTCCATAAGTTCTTTATCTCATTGTCTGTTCTTCCTGGTAACTGAGAAGCTATTGCAGCCCACCTGAAAATTTGTTCAAGATTTCTTGTCAAGTGCATTCAAAGTAAGAATTTGAACTGATTCAGAACAAACCAGAAAATTTTATGTACTTTGTACAGTTATTCGCCAAAAAGATCTATGCTTTATTATGAAGTTTTGCCAAAGAGATTAACAGTTTCAAAATGAGTGGATCTTGCAGAAAACAGAAAAGTTAACACAGTTGTTTCTTTGTTTTATGTTATGTGGGGAATTCCAATATCATAGATTTGTGAGGCAAAGCAAAAAAGGTTGTGCTTTGAAAATGTAAAAAAACTTCCATTCAATATTATCATCCCAAATGGGTTTCCAAACTCACAAAGATCCAAATTACTGCATGTTTGGTTTAAGAGTTTTTCTGTTTGTTATCATATTTTTACGGTTTGATTATTAATCTTTGTATAGGAAATATTAAACAATATTTACCTTTTCTAGAATATCTTCAAAAAAATATTGAAAAGACAGAAATATAATGGTCAATAAATTGTTTACCTATTTCCTAGGATGCCATGAAGCTGTATGACTAGTTTTTCTTCCTCTTGAGTAAAGGGACCACGCTTGATGTCAGGTCTGAGATAGTTTGTCCACCTAAGCCTGCAACTCTTGCCACAACGAAGAAGACCTGAAAATGACAGATAATCTTATAACCTATGGAAACATGGAGATCATGTCATTTAGTTGAAAAACAGAATAAATGGTTAAGCATTGTCACACTTGTTTCACAAGGCTATGAAAAAAATAAAAAGAACAAAGATTTTGCGAGGAAAAGTGTCCAAAGTGAAAGGGTCATGGGGCATGTGGCTACTAAATCCGCAATAGAAATATAATGAAGTCAAAAGGTAGCACAAGTTTTGGTCAGGATTAGGATGCAGACAGAAAACAACAGAGAAAAAAATAAGATCGTAGCATAACATGAAAAAGGGTAATGTAAACATGATACAGAATGCTCCAAGTACTGCATTTAATTTCTCTTGCACTTAATTACTTGCCTATTTATATTCCTGCCTTTTAACATTTAAGAACTTGAAAAAGAAGAGTGGAGGAAAAGGTAAAAAGGAGTCAAGAGGTATAGCTTCTCTTCATTTGTTCAATAGTTGTTAAATTGGGATATGATATGATGGGCAATGTTATCATCGCAGCACACCAAGAATGTGAATCCAGCCATAGAAATGTAAAAGGGTGTAAAAGGGCAAAACAAAAAACCATTCAAACCACTTGGAAACAAGGATTAAAGCTGGTTTTAAAGTAAAAAAGTTATGTTAATATATATTTAGCAACCATAAAAAAAAGCTTTCTTCAAGAAATATATATATATCTATGCTCTATACCATTAGAAAGACAGGTTGAGACTAAAGTGGTTGTTGAAGTTCAGTTTAGCTGATTTTAACAGAAACAAAAACTAATCAAAGTACCAGCAAAAGAGCAAAACCTGCCATCCTTGGAAGAGAACGCCAGCTTCCATGGCCACCATTTTTCTTGATATAACTAGCAAGAATTTCATCTTCTTCAGCTGTCCAAGGTCCCTTCTTCAAACCCTTCTTGTCACAACATGGTGTTCTTCCCATTCTCTTTTAAACTCTCAACAAAAACACACACCACAGCACATCAACAAAGCAAATATATATCACAAGCAGAAAACTTGGAGAACCCTTTGATGCAGACAAGTTCTCCCTGTATTTTCGACACTACAGAAACACCCCAGAAGGAACTGGAGGCACTCAAAGCAATGAGAGGACAAATAAATAGTGAAGGCGTTGGAGATGATGAAAAATTGAAAAGTTGATTTGAGGTGGCATTGCTATTGGATGGGGGCTTGCTTGCAAGTATGATCAGCGAGTTTCCAGCTGAGACAAGCAATAAATGCGTGTGCTGTAGCATTGAGAAGTTGCATCATCATTGAGGCGAAGAACTTGCACAAACAATGAAAGTGGAGGGTCTTTATGAGGGTGTGCGTTTTGCATTTTTTGGTTTTTATTTTGCACAGAAGTGGGGTGAGAGAGAAGCAGATTGCAGTGAAGATGACAGTGACAGCATTAAATGTGGAGAGTGTGGAAATGAAAAAATAGAATGCATTAATGGCGGATTCTCTTCCAGAAAAGTCAGTGCAGGATTAAAAACCAACAGAGACAGTTAAAGGGAAGGACATGAACATTAATGGGGGTCCAATTAATGACATGCATTGCAGGGTACGAACACACACCAGGAAATGAATGAATGCTACTACAACACAACACATGATGTTTCTCTTTCTTCTTTATTGCAAACAAGACCATGAACAACACCTTATCCTTATTTTTCTTAATTAGAAACATAATATTATCACCTATTAATAATTCTTCACTATCTACTACGTTCAAAGTTTACTTCAATCAAGCATAAAGAATAGCATGATACGAACTTAAAGAGTTTAGTGACACTAACACAGGCTTTAATTTACAAAACTATGTATGAATCAAGGACTTGTGTATTGTTTTAAGTTGTGGTTATAATTTAGTCACAAATCTTTAATACTGCAGTTTAATTGTGGAAAAACATTGTGGATGAGGTCACAGTTACCTCACAAAAATATAGTTGCAGTAAATTGAAAATCTTTTACCTCATAGTCAAAGCAATAAGTTTGATTTGGTGTCTAAAGGTGGATTTTGTGATTTACACTGCTGATAAATAACTTCCATTTTTTACATTTGAATAATTTTTTAAGTAATCACAATTAGAGTTACATGATGATTATTTTGGTGAGGAGTGGATGCTGAGAAAGACTGATGATAAAAGGAGTATGTAGAGATTTGAGAGCATTGATATGCCTAAATTACATATTCTGTAATCATAACTTGTTGATAATCTCATACCCTTTTGTGAATTATTGTTTTAGAATAACATATAATTTATTTTGGAAAAAGGTTTTCAGGAGTAAAATCCAATACATTCCTCTCAAATTGAATAAAAGAAGTTGATTTGTATATAAAATAATTCAACAATATATCATGCAATTACACATGTTCACCTTATTTAATGATT